TGTTTTGGGCACTTCTATGAAAGCAACTTTCAGAACCTCTATTGTGTTTTATAACTAGTTCTACACTTGTCTTATTGTTCCCTATGGAGTCAGCTCTGTGTCATGTTCACCTCTCTATCTCTTCTAGAACTTCGTTCATTATGGGTGTTCAGTAACATTTTGTGACATTGAATGGAATCAGACAATTCTTCAGCCAGCAATTTGGAAATGTATGCAAAAGAGAATTCAGCTCTACAACACACATACGAACACACACACACACACACACAAACATGCATGCACACACACACATACGCACACAAACCGTAAGCCATTAGATGAGCGTTTTTCCTCAAAGGAATGAAAACAAAGAAGTGGGAGGACACTTGAGTTTGACATTTGAACCATGAATTCATCAGCTCACCTTATAGGTTGCTGGCTGTTTTCAGAACAGAAGCCTGGCTACTCCTGGCTAGATCTGTATACTTCTTCCCTGGGAGGGATGGAGAGGAGCCCAGAGAACACAGATAGGAATTCAGGACATACTTGCCAAAAGTCAATGGCTCCTTGCTACATTCTTAAATCACATCAAAATGTAACTAAGTGGGCCAGCAGGTGGTTGGGGCACTGGACTCCACATGGCTGACCAGGTTCAAGACCAGGACCTGACGAGTTGCTTTCTCACTTTCCCTCTCTCTGTCTCTCTCTCTCTTTGTCTCTCTCTGGTAAGCATGCATGCCCTGTAGCAAATTAAAATAATAATAATAATAATAAATACAATTAAATAAATTTTTTAAATGTAACTAGTGGATGAGATTTCAAGCAGGTTGAACTGTAACAAACAGTTACAGTTCCTAAAAAATAAAGGAAGAGATGCATGTCATGGCAGAAAGAGCCCCAAGCTGGGATTTCAGAGACCTGGGTCACAGGCTGAGTCATCTCATCTTCCCTGGCCTCCACATCCTTTACAAGGAGGGGGACTGGAATATGTGATGTGTAAGTCTCCTTCTGTGATTCTATGAACCTCTTTTTAGGAGCAATATCAGTGACTGCAACAGCAACTTAATTTGGACAGAAAGAGAGAAACAATGACACCAGGCTCCATGCTTAAACTCCTGACATTCCACTGATGAGACAACACGGGTGAGCTCGATAAACTGGTCCTGGTTAATCTGTAATCATCCCATGCCTCTGGTCATGCCCTATTAGAGCAAACTTCAGCTCTAATAGGCTCTTGGCAGGCACACCAGCTTCTCATTCGTGACATCAAAGCCTGTACTGAATATAATTTGGGAGCTGGGCTTGAGATCTTGTCTGTGCCGCCTGCCTGACCACAAGTCATACTGAAATCAGCCAACATCTTATTTTCCTATACGATTACTTACATGTCTGGTTTCTGGTCCTCCCTATCAGCTACCCATACAAGCAGGCTTTAACGCCTATTCCAAAGGTACAAAACTGAAAAGAAATGTGAAAACATAAATGTCCCCAAATAGGGGAGGAGTCTAATAACTCATAATGCATCTGTTCAGTGGAGCACTATGTAATAGCTAAAAAGGAGGAGGCGGGTTTATCGTTGTTGTTTGTTTTAGTTTTAGTTTTAGTTTTAGTTGTAGGCTTGTGTGCTCGCCCAAGAGAGACAGAGAAAGAGAGGGAAAGGGAGAAATAACCCCCTTAGGGGGATGGCCATGCCATAATCCCTTTTCATCCACTCTTGAGATTTCGGGCATGCATGCATACATGCCCGACATGATTCTCAAGTCCCCAGGTCTGGGACTCATACCACGCAGCTAGCCACGTGGGATCCATCACGTCACCTGCTGTCCCTGAAGGTGGGATTTTTTTATTTCCTGGCTTTAATGAAAAGATACTCATTGCATAGTATTGAATGATAAAACAAGCTGTAGAAAAGGATGTTAATGTGTTCCATTCTGGTTGTTATTAATTAATATTTATAGGCCTATATTAATATATGTTCATGTATGAATTTGTATGAGTATAAAGGACTATGTAGAAAAATAATCAGTAAACCGTTAGCTGTGGATGTTCTGGGGACTGTTCTGGGGGGGGAGGTTCATTTTTTCATTCATGCTCTTTTGAATGGTCAAAATTTTTGTCTGTGAGTAAAACTGACTAAGTAGGTTATAACAACAACAATTTTAAAAAAAAGAAACCTAGTGATTACAACTATGTAGTCTAAAAATACACAAATCTTATGTAGACAAATTTATCAGATTTTACCAGACCCCACAACCAAAATCCCACAGTAGAAAGGTTAGTTTCCACAACTGAAGTTACTTAAGAGATGGAACACCTCAAAACAGAGCTCACATTTCTGAGTCTCTCTGGAATTGTGCAAGATGCTGACTTTTTTTAAAATAGTGGCAGAAATGACAAGTATTCATTTTGAAAGTTCTTGGTCTTCAAAGGCAACACCTGTAAGTCTACATACTCATAAACTAACTGTGAACTAAAGCAGAGAATCCACAGAAATGTACTATGAAGAGGATCGAAGCTCTTTCAATGTCCGCTATAGAGTGCAGACCTTCGGTACATAGTGAGTGGGGACCTACAGTGGGGATCTTTCAAAGTCTGGCTCACGTCACATAACAGTAAGTCCTCTTTATTCGTCTGCTTTGAATCAAATGATAGGGTCTTATTGTCTCCTATGGCGTAGAGAGTAAACGGTGAGGCTGGGCAAGAGGGGCAAAGAGAAGAAACATTTAACAAACAGAAGAATGTCAAGTTCCCTGTTGTAAAAAAGAAACAAATCTATCATTTTTGCTGTGTAAAAGTAAAAAAAAAAAAAAAAAATTCAATGTTTTCACTGCAAAAAGGTGGGGACAGAAGTTCAACAGTGAAATACTGATAGGATTATCACACCTGTCCCTATCTCTCTCCCAGCAGGGTCCATCCCTGCCTGATACCTGAAAATAAATGTGATCATATTCCCTTTTCTTAGGAATTAGCTCCACTGACTTACACTGTGGGACCGGAGACAACAGCTCACCAGAGAAGAAATCCAGGTTGCAGGAAGAGGGGAGGGAGGCAAAAAATGCAGAAAAGTATTTCAAAATGGCAGGATTATACTTTTTCAGATCAACTATCAGCATGATGTGTCATTTTTTTAAGAATAATTTCATTTTATTTCTTCTTATTATTAAGTTGCTACAGGGCACATACATTCACCAGAGAGAGAGAGAAAAAGAGAGGGAAAGTGAGAAAGGAAGCAGACAGGTCTGGGACTGCAAACATGGTCTTGTAGAAGTCCAGCGCCTTAACCACCTATTGGCCCATGTTTTTATTTTCCAGTTGGCCAGAGGCTGCATGCACTCACCAGAGAGAAAGAGAAAGCACTCCCAGAAGAGTGGTCACAACACAGTCCCCTCTCCTCCCCGTCTCCTCCTTTCAGGATTTTGGGCACTCACGTGCATGCGCCTGGCATGTCTTTCAGACTACTAACTTCAGAACTCAAATTGCTCAGTCGGCCTGTGAGATCCAGCTACTATAACCACTGGGCCACAGGTAGGCCTGCATCATCTTTATGGTGTTAGTAAGTGCAGGAAATCTTCGAAAAAGTAAGAACAACCAGAATACCCAGCTATCCTTCAGGTAAAGTGAGAACTATGAGACGCTTGTGTGCACACCAGACCAAACCAAAGAGGGCCATATGACTCACAAAAAGCCTCCCAGAAAGTGTCCTTCGAGTCCCCAGACTCCATGCTACTCATAGACCCGCAGACCAGCATCAGGGACACCACCTACCATAGGAGACCTCCTTAGGAAGACAGAATTTCTTCTGAGCTCGTCCAGCCCTCCGCAGGAGGCCCCACCCAGACCTCAGGAGAGTCCACATTTTAACCACATCCTCAGACAGCTCCTGTGTACACTAAAGCCTGAGAGGCACTCATTCAAAAACCATTCTGTGGTGTTGGAAAAGTCATGGCATATTTTTTTTTCTGTTTTTCTATTTAAACATGCGTTATGACTTTACCAACAACCCAATACTTACACGGAGCCTTGGGGCTATTAACAAACTGGGCAAGGGCTGCACGCACCATCACTGCAAATGGTAGGGGGGTTTTTTGTTGTTTTTTTGATTTTTGAGAGGTTTTTGCTATAGGGCACGTGGGCTCGCCAGACAGAGAGAAACAGAGAGACAGAAAGCGAGAAATCACCCCCCAGGGGGGGATGGCCGCGCCGCAATCCCTTCTCCTCCATACTCCTCTCAAGGGATCTTGGGCACACCCGCACATGTGCCCGGCGTGAGTCTTAAGCCACCGGGTCCGGGGCACGAACCGCGGTTGACTACGTGGGAGTCCAGCAACATAGCCATTATGCTAACTGCTGGTCCCCAAACGGGTAGAGTTTTGATGCACTTGGGGTGAGTGTGATTATGGGACAGCACAGTAAGGCCCCTACCCTCCCCACCCCGAGGGAAAGCAGCAGTCCTCTGGAGCACTTTGCACACAGCATTGCCAGTCCTAAAAGTGTGAGCATGTGGGCTTCCTCAGTCCTGCCTGGGAGGCCCCATTTGATTCTAATAGGATTTGCTTAGGGTCTGGAAGATAACAGTATTAGAAAGCCGACTTGGGACACCAGTTCCGAAAAGAGTAGAGGAAAGGAAGAAGAGAAATGCCAGTACCTGGGCCAGCACGTCCCCGTCTAGGAGGCCAGGATGGACATGGACGGCCCTTGGCCAGCCACTTTTACCAGGAGGAGGCTAAGAGAGGCTCAGGACAGGCTGCTAAGTGAGGGGAGAAAGATGCAGGTGTGCAGGGGGACACAGGTGTGCACAGGGACACAGGGCCCAGGTGGGCACTCTTAGGTCAAGGAAGCAGGGCATGAGGGTTTGAGTGTAGGTGGGCAAGCTTCTGGAGAGATTGGCTGCCAGATAATACAGAGAGAGGCTCAAATATCTGAGGGACAGAGGCCGCAGCAGGAGGACCAGAAAGCCAAACGTCGGAGCGCCGGGTGGATAGACAGACAGGACGCAGCCCACCGCCCCAGGCCAGACTCACAGGTGCGCGATGCCAGCCTTGCGCACCGCGGTAGAGATGGCCTTGACGGCAGTGCAGAGCGAGTTGAGCAGCTGGGTCATCTCGCCGGTGCCGCGCGCCTTCCTGCCCTCCTCCATGACGAAGCGGGTCAAGGTGCTGATATTGGTGTCGAAGGCCGCCTGGTCCGCCATGCTGGGGCCGGGCTGCTGCGCGCTGGGCGGCAGGTGCAGGAGGCAGGTACGCGCTGCAGGTGCGAGCGGCGGGACGCGGCACGGTGACAGCGGCCGATCTAGTGGCCACAGCGCTCTGCAAGTAATCGGTTCGGGCTAGTTCCCCAGGGCGAGTCCAGGGGGAGCCTATGGGCGCCCGGTCCCCGCCCTCCGCCCGCGGGAACACCTCCGCGCTCCGCCTCCTCTTTCCCCAACTGCGGTTTCGCGGGCTCGGGATCTCCCTATTGTGTCCGGGATCCCCCAGCGCCTCCCTTCCTCCATTCCGCCCTCTGCCCCGCCGCCGCCCAGACTTCCTCCGAAATTGCCCCACCATACCTCCCGGGACGGCGACCCTGCCAAGGGGAAGTCAAGATATTTTCCCCGAAAATGTAAAACGGAAGGTCAGCAAGGTTAGGTAACTTGCTCAACGCCACACAGCGCAGCCCTCGCTGTACCCCGCTCGTGCCTGGTTTTAGCGCTGCGGTTCTCCACCTCCATCGTCTGCTCCTGGCAGCCCTTTGTCCACCCTGCTTGGCCTGTCACCTGGCTCTTCTGACCCCCCTCGGAAGAAGTGGATTCCCTTGTCTCGTCCAGATGGCCGTGTCTGGATATTCTTCTCAAGATCGCTAGAATTCGAGAGCTAAGGGGAATCTTAGTTCCCACAGACGCAGAAGTCTCCTGGCTACCCCCACGGAGGCTGCAGCTCTACCTCCCAAATCCGGACCCATTTTTAGCCACGATGCTGTGATAATAGGCTCATTCCTGGAACCTGTACTGAGCACCTACTGTGTGCCAGTCCTCCAACTCTGGGAATACAGCCTGAAAGAAAGAGATAGAACTCCTCTTGCCCTTGAGAGCAGCAGGTGGCCTGGTGGTTAAGGTGCTGGACTCCCACGTGGCCAACCACAGTTGGAGTCCCAGACCTGGTGACTTGCTTTCTCACGTCCCACCCTCCTCTCTGTCTCTGTCTCTCTGGTGAGTCCACATGCCCTATAAAAAATTAAGTAATAATAATAGTTAATAAAATAATTCTTAAAAAAAAAACTCTTGCCATATTTGAGCTTGCCTTTTAACAGAGACAATTTTTAAAAACAATAGATTAATTTGGTACATAAGTCATTTGTCCTATGAAGAAAACAGGAAAGACAATTAGGGAATGTAGCAGGGGAGGAGAGCATAAACAGGAATCAGAAAAAAAAAAAAAAAAACTCACCAAGAAAGCGATGTTTGAGCAAAGAGTTGAAGGGTGTAAGGGAGAAGCCTGCAGAAATAAGGAGAAGAGCATTCCCACAGTGAGAAGAGTGAGTGTAGAGGCCCTGAAGTAGAAGAGTGTGTGTCATGTTTAGGAACGGTAGGGAGACCAGTGGACTGAACTAGCGCCATCAACAGGGTGAGGTAGAGGAGATAAAGTTTGGGAAGGGAGGGAAAGATGTAGGTGTGAAGTCTAGAAGTCCAAGGAAGGTTTGAGGCAGGTTCAGAGTAACCTGGAGAGTTTCCAGGAGAAGAGAGATATAATCTGCCCTGTGCTTTCATAATCTGCCAACTGCATTAAGACTCAACTGAAGAAAGGGGACAGATGCTCTTTAGGTTACTGCGGGATCATGATGAGCCAGAGGGTAGTGGTGGAGGTGGTGAGAAGTCGTGGGATTCTGTATATATCTATATTATGTTGTTAGAAAAGTCCTGACATATTTTTATATGCAAAAATGCCTCATAACTTTTCCAACAACCCATTTTAATTGCCTAAGGGAACATGCAGTTGCCAAAAAGAGAGAGAGAAAGCAACCCCCAATAGGGGTCATACCTCAAAACCCTTTCCTCCATTTCTCCATCCCGTCAGGATTTGGCACATGCACATGCACCTAGCATGATTTTTTAAGCCCCTAGAGCTAGGATTCAAACCACAGTTGGCCATGGGGGACTGGCTCCCTACAAAGAGACTTTAACCACTGTACTATGGGGCTGGCCCTCTTGATATATTCTGAAAATAGAGCTGATGGGATTTGTTGACAGATGAGATGTTAGAGAGAGTTCAGGATAATTCTAAGATTTGAGACCAGAGAAACTGGAAGAATGGAGTTGCCCTCAATTATGTTGGGAAGGACCATGCTGGGAGTACATTAGGGGCAGGACTAATCGTTAGGAGCTAATTATGGGACACACCATGTTCGAGATGCACACAAAGCATCCTGGGGATTAAATACAGTCGGATTTACACATATGGAGCTCAGAGGAGGATCCATGCTGGAGATAGAAACTGGAAACCTCATGATAAATGGTGTTTCTAGCCCTGAGATTGGAGGAAATCCCAAGAAAGATGTCATCTGAAAGCCAAGAGATGCCACATCCTAGAAACCAAGTGAAGAACACGCATCGAGTGGGCTGACCCACATGCCAGCTGCTGTGAACGAGGCAGGCAAGAGGAGATCAGATAACTGATGGTCGGGTTTAATAGTGGGGACCTGGGGTTTTGCTCTTGGACCAGGGCTGTCAGATGGGGCAGTACTGGTTGAGTGAAGGTACTAATACCACCAGGGAAAATGGTTACTGTCTCCTCAGAGCCCAAGAGGGGGTGTCTATTAATACTACAGCAAACCCTCTAAGGGTCCACCTAACTTTGAACCTGCAAGAGTGAAGAACCAACTGTATATGTTCAATGCACAGCTGCTGCTGCTGCTGCTGCTAAGATTTATAGATACTGAGGGTTTCCAGTGAAGAGTTTCCAGTAGAGGAGAGGTATGATCTGCCCTGTGTAGCCAAGGTGGAGCAGTCTAGAGACACAGAGAATCTAAAATAGATGTGCAAGCTGAAGTGAGATTTAAGGACAGTGAGTAAACCAAGTTGACAAAGTGGAGTTTCTGTGAGAGAACAGTCAGCAAGGTGGAGAGAAGACTGGCTCAGACCGTGGAGGGTTGGAAGGTGATAGCGAGGGGTGAGAATGTTGTCTTCTAGGCCATTGCTACTCCAGGGGATCTGGTCTACAAACTGTTTATTCCTGTCCCTGATAAATATGGAAATTGAGAATAGCTGTAGTCATTTGACGCAATAAACGCATGTCTATTAAATCTAATAATAAGGATTAGGACCTGTACTCTAGATGTCTGTTTCATTTTATTTTTCTAGAAAGTTATTTTTATTGCCTTTTCCAAAAGCAGTGACCTGTGATGAGCCCCAATGCCATGACCCACCCCCAGTCTCAGCCAGCCCAGATCACAGGTTCATGCATCCAGCATTGTCAGGGAGGTCTCTGGACATGAACTGGCCATCTCCCCATGAGGGTCTGCCTTGCAGAGCATTGCATAAACTATTACTGGATTGAAATGTTTTTACAAACTGGTCCTTCACCACAGATCATTTGAAAAGCATGACTGAGACAGCAGAGGGCCATCAAAATTTTATGACAAGTGACGTGACATAGGAGTCTGCTCTTTCTAGAAAGAACACATAGGATAGATAGTAGTGGGAGAATAGAGGAAGACCATCCTGGTGGGAGTTGTTAGAGACCTGCATTGGGATTGCAGAGAGCAGAAACTTTGGGAAGAAAGGAAACAGGGCCAGGACTCCTTTATCTACCAGGGTCTTGACCGCAAGAGGGCTTCCATGTGTGAGGGGAGTTAGAATGAATTACGTATGTCAAAAATGATCTATTCAGAGCCACCTCCCCCTACATACACTTCAGACATGCAAATGGAATCAATCTTGTATTTGGGCAGAATGACATTGCCACCCATCTAATCCTACAGACCCATCATCACTGCATAATCTTCACCCTGCTTTCCTCTGGGCCCCCACATCTAATCAAGCCACTTTGATTCTGCTTCTGAGACAGTTCTTCCATTCTCAGCTCCTAAACAGTCTTCTCCTAGACTGCCATCTCTGCCCTTAGTGCTCTGTCTCTCCTGAAGGCCAGAGGCATAACTCAGATCGTATCATTCTTTACTCCATAACCTCTCAAGGCTCCCTACTGTCTGGGGGAAAATAACAACTCTTGAGCAGGGCATTTAAGAACACCAGTGTGTGTCACTCAACCCCACATTTCACTTGAATTTCCACTGAATTTCCACTGAATTTTCACTTTCCGACCTCTCCCATGCACCAGTTACCCTGCTTGATGTCCCAAAATCACCCCTGTAATGAATTTATATCCATTTAGTGGGCAAATTCTCCAAGACCCCTGGCCTGAACTGAAGGCCACAGTAGCAAAATCTACGCCATTCAGTATGGAGTGGATGTTCGCTTGTGGCAGAGCTTCCACGTGAGGCTTCATTCTGAGATTCAGTCTTAGCAAATGAGAGGCACGTTCAGATAATGGACCGAATGAGGGTTCCAGGAGCTGGATTTCTTGCTTATGTCTTTCCTGTCTTTCACCTCATTTAATCCCTCTGACAGCCTATGGAGGAGGCCCCTGTCTTTCATCTAATGTAATCTCACTGACAACCTGCTGAGGAAGCCTTTAGTTCCATTCACAGTTTGGAGGAAACAAAAATGTGCCTAATGTTTTACAACCCTAAGTGGCAAGTCAGCATTTGAACCCAGACCCTGACTCCAAAACACATTAAATACATTGGTTTTGTTTTGTTTTGTTTTGTTTTTGTTTTTGTTTTTATCATCAGATGAAACTGAGAAACAGAGCACCAGATTCCAGGACCAGCCCTGCTAGAAACCAGCTTACTTTATGAATGTCACTTAATCTCTTTGGGTGCAGCTTCCTCATTTATAAAATAAGCAAGAGATAGAAGGAAACGTTCTTGCAAAAGGCCTCCTTCTCTTACATTGACTCTGAACAAAAATAATAGCTCGTAGTTGGTAAGTGCTTATTACATGTCTAACATTGTGCTGAGTGAGCTTTTAAAAGAGTTATCTCATTTGGTCTCACCACGCACTTATGATTAAGTGAAGTTAAGATTTCCCTTTAGTAAATAAAGAGTGTGTGGTTTAGAGAAATTCGGTACTTTCCCCAAGGTTACTCAGCTAAAAAGGGGACATGCTAACTTAGCCAAGCCTTCTCTGGAGTCCACATCCCTACTCTGTTTGGTTTCCAGGCTCTCAGACTCCAGGACACGCTGTTTCTTCCACCTGAAACAGTCCACCGTCTCCCCAGGCTCAGTTGTTCAGGGTAATTCCTGGCCACCAGACAGGTCTCAGAGGCCCAGCTCCCGTGCACAGTCAGCTGTCCCTGTGTGCTCTCACAGACTCTGCAC